TTTAATCAACTTTGTTATTTATAATTTAACGATAATAAATTATTCAAGAAAAATGATTGGTTGACCTGAATTTTTATCAGGTCAGTTTAGTTTAGTTCGACCTGTTGACTCGACCTGACATCAAACTGAAAATCTATTGACCCGATCTGAACTTTCAGGTCAGTTCGGGTCAGGTAAACAGGTCGACCTGATCTGATTCGGAGCTCTAAAGGTGGTTATTCATGATACTCAATTATATCAACACAAATCCTGTGATTTAAGAATTCTTCCAGACCAATAATATGCTGGCCATAAATTTCCCTTAAGATAATAGAACGGATATCAGTATGAATTATGAGACCATATGTTGCATGATGTATTCAGAGAATAAAATCTGGAAAATTATTTTGATTTATCAAAATAAATGGATTTAAGAAAATAGTATCAAAAAGTTTGTGCAAATTAAAAAAATCATCTAATATAGTGATAAAATTAACGGAGCTCTTGGAATAAATTCATCACCCTTTGCAATGTCCTTGAAATAAATGAGACCACTGACTTCCACTTTCTCAATAGTACAACCATTTAATTGGTCTGTCTTAGTAACAAGCTTTTGAATATGGATATAATACAATAGCTTCATGATATTATCCTTACTATGTAAGCTTAACAACCAATATTTTTTGGAATATTTTTCTTTAACACGATCCTTTATATTTTCCCAATATTTTTTCGCTACATCATAACTTTGAAATGCTCCCTTTATTTCTTCTTTCTCTCCCAGATAAGCAAGTGTTATAACTGTAATTTCAATGATAACGGGAATTCCTCTTACAGAATTCACAATACAATAATAAAATCTTTCATTCTTTCCTGACAAAATGTTACTATTGCCATAATAATATGTGGTAAACCCATCAAATAGACTCATAGAATCTTTAAAATTCATAAGAGATAGATTAATATTGGTCATTTCGTATTGAGTTATACTAAATGCAGAATTATCCAAATTTTCAATTTTAGACAGAGCAGTACTAGTACATATTGGAATAATTAAAGTTCTATATTTTACTTGAACTAGTATACTTTTTATGATGCGAAGTAATGTAGTCATCTAGTAATTTCCAGTCTGAAATTCGTCAATCTGTAAAACTAAAATTAAAGTGATAGACGTATCCAACCTCTTTTCTCTGCGAATCAATTCAATGACTTCATCATACTTAATGCTATCAGACATCAAATTAATATATTCTTTAATATTGTCTAAGCTTCATGTTTAGGCGAGAAAATATATTACAATAAGCTTTTTAAGAAGAATGCTTGCTTTATTAATATCTTTTAGAATTCAAGAATATTTATTATTTACATCATCATCAAGTCCTGGCCTAAGTAAACTTTTATCTCATCTATGCTAATGTATATGTGCTCAAAAGTTGCATTCGTACAATCTTTTAGTTTTTTTATGGCTTTATTGTACTTGGCAATTTTATCAATTTCAAATCCAATACAGGTTTTTCTAATACCACTTCCACCAAAAATTACAATACCACAGTAATCTTGAGTTCAAGGCGTTGATTTAGGTGTCATGTTAGACAAGTTTTGATTTAATACTTTGCAAAGTTTCTCCTCTATCTGAGAGCGAAAAACAAAGGGAATCAAAGTGATTGGACTTTCATCAGCTGAAATAATTCTCCTAAGATCTGATAAGGAATCGATAGAAAGCTTAGGTCTCTTCACTTCTGATGTTAAAAAGGAAATAATGTATAATTTTTAACATTAGAAACCATATTACGTTCACTTGTATTGACTAAATTTATTATGACTTACTTACCAGCAATAGGTTACTTTACGATAACGTGAATGTGTTTTTAGGACAGGTTTGACAATAAAAAGCAGGAAAGAAAAGCACAAGTATTCAGTATTATTGGCGAATATAACAGAGAAGACGAAAGAAATTATGCTATATCACGTTGACTAAAAATTATTGACTTACTGGTGATAACAGGAACTCTAACGATAACTCAAATATTATTATCTTGAACTCTATAAAATGTGTTGTCAACTTTTTGCATTGTGATTTTTATTTCATTTTCAACAGTCATTAAACCATCAGGGGTGTTACTCTCCAACTGACTTTCCTCAACATTAACATTCTATAAACTAAGGTTTTTAGCTTTTACATTGTCAGGTACACTAATTTCCTTGAAGATAGTTTTCTTTAAATCAAAAATAGAATTATTGTTTTCAATGGTAATGGAGAAGGAACTACTTCCATATTCAAGACACTAAAGGGTAATAGGCGTACCATCAATAGACATTTTACTGTTATTTTGTATCATAACGATAAATGAGGAAAGAAAAGAATTTTTTTTGCAGAATTGGGTAACGAGTTAGTTTTATAGAGAGATCACAGATCTAATAAGTGATACAATCAATTTTAATATGAACACAGTAGTCAGAATTTAGTCATATAATTTTTATTCTATAACATTAAATGTCACAGCTACAGGATTACGCAACCAGTTTATGTGAAGGAAATATCTCGATATTTTAACACAATTTTTTGTTTTTCATTTTAAGCTACGCTTCAAAAAAAAAAACTAGTAGAGTTGTTAAGATTACAATAATTAAGGTATTTGATTTGTATATAAATAATAATAATAATAATTCAATAATGATGAATGAATTAAAAAAAAAAAGATAAAATAAAATAAAATTTTCAAATTAATTTTGATTCATTGTGACAAGCTTGTCACAGTAAAGTTACAGGCTACTAATTATTTGGAACATTACTCTGCAACAAAATTACATGATCACTATGCTACAATTGCGAACTTGAGTATATTGCTTGAAGTGTTACAGGCAAGACAATATTCAAACTTATCGTGGAAATACAATTTTGCTAATTTAGGATCATAAGGGAATTGATTCACATTTTTGCAGTACCATTCACCATGTAATCTATAATTCCCATGTATTTCATCACAAATAGGGCATGGTGAACTCCATGGCTGAGGTGATGTAAAATCATAATTATCAATCCCTTGAAACTATTTCCAAATTTTAAGTATGGGAAGTGCTATAAGACGGATTTGATAATTAATTCTGGATTGTGTCTGGCTTTGAAAGTGATAGGCCCTTTTTCTTCATATTGCTCAGAAAAAGATAAATAGGATACTTTGTTTTCTAGCTTTGAATTTATGAGAAGATGGGCTTTTGATAATTGCCATGACTCATATCCAGTTTCTTTTTTATATTTTTTGTATAAGCTGAACTGAATCCTATCTGCCAAAATACTTGATAAAACCAGTTAATTTGGCATGCCAATCCAGATATTCAGGGGTTAATACTTTATCGGACTTAAACATGTTGATTTTTTTTTATGATTGTGAACAATTTAAATTAGATAATAGTTGATATGAATTAGTCCTATAAAAAATATCACAATAAAGCATAAGCAAATATAGTATTGTAAAATAATGAGACTATGCAATTATCTCAAGTTCACGCTGTTTATATTTAATAAAATAGGATCTGGTTTTATATCTACCTTTTATGCTTTCTTTATCGTCATGATCTAACTTGTATAAAAACATAATTTCTTATCAGTAATTTCGTAATAATCAAAATTTTCACTACTAAATTTCTATATAAAGTAAGATATTGATCTAATGTTTTATTTTGAAAATAGATGTGGTATTAAGTTGGATTAGTCCTACTTGTTTAAGGTGTAACTAATAAAATCATTTCTGGTTGAACATTTATTTTGATTTCTTTTTCATTAGGTGAAGATCAACACTTAATATAATAAGAATCCTTTATGTATTGGCCAATTACCTTTTCTTTATTGTGCTTTTTTTTATATTCAGGACATAGGCTGAAATTTTTAAATTCATATCCATCATTATGTCTGTTATTATTAAACAAGAATAGATAGAGATATTCTTTCAAAGTCACATTGATATAGAAAGCATGTGAATCATATAGAATAATCAGTATATTCTTATTTGGTTGAGAGAATGCTGGTACTTCAGCTGGTATGGTTTGAGATGCATTTACGATTTTTTTACTAGTTATACCATCTAAGCTTAGTAGTGCAGTAGTAGTGATCATTTTTAAAGTCACATAAGTATGTGAATTTTTTTCACGCTATATAATAAGAATAGTATTGATTTGCATATTAGTTAATTTTAAGTTTATTTGCATTATAAAATTTGATTCGCATAATCTTATTCTCTCTAATTTCGCTAAATAATATATATATAGACTTAGTTAACTGAGTTTTTTACACAAGTTTACATGAGAGACTCCTAAAAGATACTGTAGCATTTCATCATAAATCTGCCTACTCATAAGTTCATAGGCTTTTTTATTCATAATAATCTATTCTTTAGGATTTCAGGTAAAATCTCACTATGACTTTTTTCAAAATACATTCTATAGCAATACTAGCTCATGATTTCATTTTATTTGGCTTGTATAGTCCTAATTTCAGCAATTTTCATTTTTTCATATAGATAGACTAATTTGATTGCAGATAATTGATTAACAGCTATACTCTCCTCCATATTAATAAACTTAGCACAACCTTCTTTCAAAGGTTCTATAAGCAATTTTTATATCAAAAGCTGTATATCTATTTTAAGTATTTTTATTTTAGCATTTTGTTCTGATAAGGCAAAATTATTAAGGATAGGATGTGAATTTGTGGATGATTCTAATGAAAGAATATCAGAAGTAGCAAATAAATTCAAATCTCAAAGCTTTTTTTCCTATTTCTTTGCTTGATCTCATTACTAACCTTTTTTTTATATTCTTCATCCAAGAAAGTATCTATCTATCTCTCTATCCTCCAATAAGACTTTCTCAGAAAAAATATCTGGTCCCAAAGGGACCTTTTCAATAGAACATATATCCTATAAATTAGTAATGTCTTAAGTTTGCTGTTTAATTTCTGAGTTAGATATTAAATCATTCTCAGCAGAGCTAATTTCAAGATTATTTCGTGAATTATTATGCAAAGTACTATTTTTTGGATAAGAAATAGGTTCTAAGACTTCTTGTTCTTTTATAATAGGAACTTCAACTATATCAGCATTATGATTTGAAAGTATAGTATCTTGTGAAGCTTTGATCTGAGAAATATCTTTTTTTTCTTTAGCCTTGGTAGCAGGATATTCAAGACAAATACTATAAATCATTCATTTATCTGTAAGAATAGTAATATTCTTTTATAGTAGATTCATGAAAATATATTTATGAATTTTTAGGTATAAAAGTAATTTACGAATTCTTCTGGCTAAAATATTTTATATAGAAGTATTCACATCTGATTAGAATTCTCTAAAAGCATTTAATGTAATATATAATACGATTTATTCTATAATGAATTTTATTATACTTATATTATGTTTAAGTAATAAAATCATATTACTCTGTAAAAAATAAAAATCATATGTCAGCATAAAAAAATTCACACACTTTTGCTAAGAAAAAAAATATTTTATTAATACATGCAAAAAAATAAATACAAAAGTTCAAGACTTAGCCCAGAATACATGACGTTTCTATGATATATTGTAGACTATGATATATGCTTATTTTTTCAAATAATATTCCTCTATTCTATCCTTTTTCTTTGAAGAAGGATCATCTTCCGCACATACCCTATCCTTTAATAATCCTACTACAATGCCTAACACCTTTTTTATGTTATTATATAATGTTTAATATTCTACAGATTCTTTATCCAAAGCATCTTCAGAAAATTCAATACTAAATGGTAATTTACTGCCTTGTGAAATTTTTCTCAGAGTATAAAGTAAGAAGTGCCAGTCTCAAGCTATAGTGATAATACTATAGAAATAATTGAAATTGTCATTATCATTCTACTTCTGTTTTCTCAAATTCGTTTAACATAAACTCTCTAGTTGTTTAATATTTTGAGCTAAATCCTTAATTGGATTTTGCTCTGGTTTGTCTTTAATGATACAAATAAGATTTTAGCTTTCTGAAACACAAGTATGATATTAGTATATCTTCGAAAAAATGTCAGAAAATTGACAGGTCCTAAAAAAAATTAATATAATACCTTGATTGTGACGTTCTATGCTATCATCACTAATTACTTTATATTTAGGTCTTATGCTAAGCTCTTTCCCTATAGAATCTCTTGTAATATTGATTGCAGTATAAAGAATCATCACGACATAGTTACGGTTAATTAATCCTAGCTTCTTTCTTACTTCTTCTTCAAGATCAGAGACTTTTTTATCCTTAGAAATCTCAATCACAAAAAGTATATTTTTATTTTTAGCATTATGATAGTGGAAGTTAAGACTCATAATATCATTATCTGTACTGGTAGACATCTTATTTTCCTAAATATAAGGCTTAAAGTTAGAAAATTTTGTTTCTATATATACATAACTTCTGGTATATTCATACCTTATTTGCATTATTTTCTCTAAGAAAGTTAGCTGAACTTCCACATACTCCTACACGCTATTACATTGGGTTTCGTAGCTTCAATTAAAATCTCAAAGGGTAAATAAAACTAAGACAATTACTCAAGGAATCACAGGTGAGAATTCACAATAACGTCGAAGAATTATTCTC